TTCATGGACTGGAGACCTGTCCAGGTGTCCCTGTGATGGACTGGAGACCTGTCCAGGTGTCCGTCGCCTCTCACACAGTGACAGCTGGATATAGGTGACAGTGACCCCTGTGACCCAAAAAGGAAGGAGTGGGTAAAGATGATGGATGTATGGATGGATGTATGGATGGATGGATGGATGGATGGACCTGTCCTAAATGCATCTATTGTGCCCTCACTATGCTTCCCACAGCTGTTGATAGATGTCAGCCCTTAGTTGTTCCAGAGTTTGTCTCTATTCTCCCACCAGTCTGATATTCATTTGAATGTTCATTTTGAATATTGTAATACTATATTTATTGTTTTTGTTACATTCAGGTTCAAGCTGAAGAAATAAAACCTAAACAATGTATCCTGATGCATGCTCAATAATCCAGGTAGAAAAATCCAAAAAAGTCAAATCTGGTCCTCTGGACATTCAAAAAAACCCAAAACAAAGCAAAACAACAAAAAATGTAGAAACGTTTCGTCTCTCGTCCGAGAGACTTCTTCAGTCTGAGGTGCTGTTTTCAGCTCAGTCTCTTAAATAGCACCTTCTCAGAGTGGATCAACCAGTTTTGCTGCTGACAACCAAAACCAACTGATCACATGCTCAAGAAGGACCATCAGCCTAACAATGGATCATTAGCACACTGATGGCTGTTTACTACTCACAGAGGGCTGAGTGATACTAGCAATCACAGCATTGTAAGAGGGGGACAGTTGAACCCGGAGGCCTCCACCCCTGTTTAATGATGGACGGTTTCTTTTCACAAAGATGGCCTCCTTTACTCCTCTCTCAAACCATCGTTCCTCTCTATCCAGGATGTGCACATCTTCATCCCTGAAAGAGTGACCGCTGGCCTGGAGATGAGTGTAGACCGCAGAGTCCTGGCCTGATGATGTTGATCTTCTGTGCTGGTCCATCCTTTTGGCCAGTGGCTGTTTTGTTTCCCCGATGTAAGACTGTGTGCTAATGATCCATTGTTAGGCTGATGGTCCTTCTTGAGCATGTGATCAGCTGGTTTTGGTTGTCAGCAGCAAAACTGGTTGATCCACTCTGAGAAGGTGATATTTAAGAGACTGAGCTGAAAACAGCACCTCAGACTGAAGAAGTCTCTCGGACGAGAGACGAAACGTTTCTACATTTTTTGTTGTTTTGCTTTGTTTTGGGTTTTTTTGAATGTCCAGAGGACCAGATTTGACTTTTTTGGATAAACAATGTATGTTTTTTATACTATGAAGTTCAGAGACCAGTATCAAGCAGTTAGTTAACACCACTATTTGATTTGTAATTTGAATGCTTTGAAAATCCACATGTCTGGTGTTTGTGGCTCTAGTAACAACTGATTGTGCCGTTTTTGTAGTTGATCTTAAAGTAAACAACTCTGTGCTTATATTAGGCTTCTGTGTGCTCACGTTTTATTAACGGTAATGCAAAAGTATATTCTACTTAATTTTACCTTAGCAACCAGCAGAGTTATCATCTCCTTCACCGTCTCTTCAATAAGATGGTCAATTTGAGAATGGTACTGTCGCTGCAGAAGAAAAGACAGATGTCAGAATTTACAGCCATATTCATGAAACTCTAAATTAAAACACTGAAGATATTCTTAGGTTTAAACTCTGAGTAAATCTTAATAATTAGACAACTGCAAATCAACCAGCCAACCTGCCATTCAGCCAACCAACCAGCCAATCAACTGACCAACCAGCCAACCATCCATCCATCCACATATATCTGCTGTGGTAAAGAATGAGCTAAGTTGAAAGTCATTGTTCTCAATTTACTAAGATAAGATAAGATTAGTTAGAACTGTATCGATCCCACAGGAAATTGTTGTGCCAGAGTTTCAGTACAAAGGAGCATACACACAGAATCACACAATATATAAAAAAATAACCGAGAAAATATAAAATACCAGCAATTAAGTTCTAAACAGGTCAGGTGCAAACATGTATGAAATGTCTACTAGTCCATACCAAACTTAACCTATGGTCAAAATAATAGAAATAAGGTCCTGGATATAAGCAATCAATATTATCTTTTAGGGATTTTTTGTCAAAGGTTATGGATATTTTTATTACCATGGCTAATAATCTTTACTCTGCCCATGAACCATATGTTTGGGTTAGTAGAGAGAGCTGATGAGGAGCTGGGTGAGGCTGCAGCTGCAGTCAAGGACGCCTTCTCCTTCAAGCTCTCTGAGCTCAGTTGAACTGATAATGGGTATTAAAACAAGCTCAGCAGACAGCTCATGGCATATTCTCATGACTGGTTTTCATGTGTGTACTTTCTGTAAATTTATGTAACATGTCATGAAAATCTGACCTTGTAAGTAAATATTGGATAAAAATCTTCTCCTGCTGTTGTGTGGTTCCTTTTGAGTAAGTATGATAAAGTGAGAATATATTTCTCCAACATTACCCACGTGTGTAGGGTGGCCAAGTTCTGCTTCAGAGATAGATGAGGAGCTCCATCAGAAGAAACTTGGAGTCACTACTCCTCCACATTAAAGAATCAGTTTAGGTGGTTCAGATCCTAACAGATTAGCATGCCCCTTTCTGTTTTTTTTTTAGGCATTTCCCACTGGGGAAAAGCCCAATGGGCAAACCCAAGACATCTCTCGTGGTATTGTGTATTCTGAGAATGCAACAAAATGAAGTGCATGGAAGGGAATACAGTCTAGCAAGCTGTGCATCCAATGATAATATTAAATTAAATAGGCAGTGATTTTCAAATGTTGGTATCTTAAAATATGGCCACACAGATTGGTGTCTTAGACACAGAAAGTAAGTGAGTCTGCAACAAAAATGTTTATTTTTGTTTGTGAGTCTCCAGCTATTCTCTAATAACCACATACCAGTGAGAAACTGGCTTCAAACATTCAGTCATAGATAAATTGTAAATACAGGGTGACTGCCAAGGTGGACAGAAGCTGTGGTGGGTATGATATAAGTGAAGGTAAGTAATGAAACAATGTGCATGACCTTGAATTCAGTTTCCAAAGCCATGCACCCAAAAATAGACTCCAAATTTTACAACAGGCTGGTCACTTGGTTGCAAACATTTCAATTTCAGTAAGACTGAAATGGAAAATTAACATATTTTTACAATTTATTTACTATTTTGATACACTATCTAACAAACAGTCTCTAACAGATGCACAATGAAAAAAATGCTAGTTTGATAAGCAAATGGGGTTTTCTATTCTTTTGGTTGTTACATTTTTTTCATAAATTGCCACAGCTCCAGTCATCTTCCTCCATCTCACTCTGTCCTCACTCCAACTACCTCCATGTTCTCTGTAACTGTATCCATATAGCTCTTCTTTGGCCTTCCTCTTTGTCTTTTTCCTGGCACCTGCATTTCAGGTTCAGGGTTCAGATTTGTTTTATTTGTCATATGCCAAGTCAACACAAGGTCAACAATGCAATGAAATGCTCAGGACGAGAAGATAACCGTCTCGACTCACCAAATACAACAGCAACAACAAATACCAAAGCATGCAACAAAAATACAAAAACAAGGCACCAAAAGAGAAAAATAAATAAATATACAGCAGTATGGTCCTATTGGCAGAGTAGTTCTGTTGGCAGTGAGGTTTCTCTTAGCAACATGGATTCGTTGGCTGGTACCATGGTACTGTTAGTGGTGTGGTTTGGTTTCTAACTGAACATTCATTTCATTCATATAATTTCATTTTTAACATCTTTCTACCAATATATCCACTGTCCTACATGTCCAATTCATCTCAGTCTGGCCTTTCTAACTTTATCTCCCAGTTGTTCAGGCTGTGCTGTACCTCTGATGATCTCATTCTTAATCTTCTCCATCCTTGTCATTTCAAAGGAGAACTTCAACATCTTCATTTCTGCCACTTCCAGTTCTTTCTCCTGTCTTTTTGTCCATGTTCTTCTTGATGTTGCACATTCGTGGTGAGACATATTTTGTCACTTCCTGTTTGTCTGTTGGTAGCTCGAATAATTTGTTTGCTCGAGTCGTCTTTTATGTTCTGGATGTATCTGTCTTTTGGCACAGTTTTTTATTCTAGTTCACAAACACCCTCAGTACAGTTGTTTTTCTACTGTTGGATAGTGCTTGAAACACATTTCATCTTTAACACTTTTGGGTTTTTATTGGTGTTTTGGGATCTGATAGCTCTTGTTAGCGTTAGGTTTGCATGGCTACTTCTTCTGTCCTGGTTGTCACTTGCTCCGTGTGTCAGATGTTGAGTTTCTCCTCTGCCTCCTTTAGTGGTAATGATACATGTAACAAATGTAGTCTTATGGTAGCTTTGGAGGAGAGGCTGTATGAACTGGAAGCTCAGCTCCCCACTACAGAGAAACTAGTAACTAGCCAGGTCCCCTTAGACAGCACAGAACCACAGAGACTAGCTCCCTTTAACGGTCCTCCAGTAGAACCCGAGCAACCGGAACCCCAGGCCGGCTGGGTGATGGTCCGGAGCAAGCGTAGTGCTAAGGCTAAGCCCCTAGTTCACCACCAAACCAGTCACATTTCTAATTGATTTTCCTCGCTCAGTGACACAGCCGGAGACTTTAACCACGTGAATCTAAAGGACTGTCTCCCAAGCTTTTATCAACATGTGGCGATTCCAACACGTGGAGACCACACGCTGGACCTTGTTTACACGAACGTAAAAGATGCATACAAAGCCGAACCCCGCCCCCACCTAGGACTGTCAGACCACATCTCAATCTTCCTGGCTCCTGCTTACATGCCCCCGCTGAGACGCTCCAAAAGAAAAGAAAATTAAAGTTAAATGCTGGATCCAGGACAGTGGCCCCATACTGAGAGATTGTTTTGACCGAACAGACTGGCAGGTTTTCAGAGAAGCTACTGAAAATGGAGGTTCCCTTGATCTTGACCAATACACATCCTCAGTTCTGGGTTACATTAATACATGTACTGAAACCGTCTCCACTATCAGAAATGTTAAAAGCTACCCAAACAGAAAACCTTGGCTGAATGCAGAGGTGCGTACCCTGCTGGAAGCCAGGAACACTGCCTTCAGGTCTGGAAACTCAGAGGAGCTGAGTAGGACAAGAAAAGAGCTGGTTGCTGGTATTAAGAAGGACAAGGCCACATATGCACAGAGGATCGAGGGTCAATTCATCTCACAAGACCCTCGGAGCATGTGGAGGGGCATTAAGTGCATAACAGATTATAAAGGAAGGAGCGAACAATGCCCCAAAGACCCATCTCTGCCTGATGCCCTCAACAAGTTCTATGCACGCTTTGAAGACCCGAACAGACCACCCAGCACCAGACTCGCCTCACCACCGGATGAAGAGCATCTCAGCGTGACCTCAGCAGAAGTAAGGAGTACCTTCGGGAGGATTAATCCGCACAAAGCAACTGGCCCAGACAACATCCCCGGAAAAGTGTTGAAGGAATGTGCTGATCAGCTCTGTGAGGTGCTGGCAGACATCTTTAACACCTCACTTACCCTGGAGACAGTTCCCACCTGCCTGAAGACTGCCACCATCATCCCAGTCCCAAAAAGCTCTACAGTGACTGGTCTGAATGACTATCGGCCAGTGGCCCTCACCCCGATAGTCGCTAAATACTTCGAAAAACTGGTCATGACTCACATCAAAACAACCATCAACATGAACGAGGACCCTCATCAGTATGCATACCGTGAGAACCGATCAACAGAGGATGCCATCTCCTCTGTGGTCCACACTGCGCTCAACCACCTGGAGCAGAAAAACTCTTACGTCCGTATGCTCTTTGTGGACTTCACATCCGCCTTCAACACCATGATCCCCCAAACCCTGATGGTCAAACTATCCACACTAGGACTAAGCCCCTCCATTTGCAACTGGGTACTAGACTTTTTAACAAACAGACCACAGTTAGTGAGGATCCACAACCTCTCCTCCTCCACCATAACCCTCAGCACTGGCTCTCCTCAGGGATGTGTGTTGAGCCCCCTCCTGTTTACTCTGCTCACGTATGATTGTGCAGCTACCCATCCAGGCTGTCACATTGTAAAGTTTGCAGATGATACAGCGGTGGTGGGATGCATCACAAACAATGATGAGTCCAGCTACAGGCAAGAGGTGGAACACCTGGAGAGCTGGTGCA